TCACCAGCCCTAATTTGGGCTAATATCCAAATTATTTACGGAACTCATGAAATTAAACTCCAGCAAACCAAATAATTCAATTAAAAATGGGATACAGGGCTAAACAGAGAATTCTCTATAGAACAATCTTGAATGGCTGAGAAGCACTTAAAGAAATGCTCAATGTCATTAATCATGAGGAATATGCAAATCAAAATGACTCTGAGATTTGATCTTACACTACCAGAATGGCTAAGATCAAAAACTCAAGTTACAGGACATGCTGGTGAGGGTGTGGAGCAAGGGGAACATTCCTTCATTGTTAGTGGGAACGCAAACTTGAGCAACCACTTTGAAATTCAATCTGCTGCTTTCTCAGAAAATTGGGAATAGTTCTAACTCAAAACCCAGCTTTTCTACTCCTGAGCCTACACCCAAAAGATGTCCCACCATATCAAAAGGACTCTCTTTCTCTTTTTTGATTGGCTTTTTATTTTTTAATTAGAATACAAAGCAGCAGGCTTTCTTTCCACACTTTTATATATTGTAGCAGTGATCCTCTCCCTCACTCCCCAGTCCTGTTTCCCTTAGACAAGCTGGAGAACTGCAGCAAGGTGGGCTTCTGGGAGGACATGGGAGTGACTCTAGCTTGAAACCCTTGGTGGTGAGGGTCATGGAGGCTGGAGAGGCCAACCTCTAACTAGGACTTCTGGTGGAGAGAGGGGAACACCAACCCACCTACAAAAACTTCATCCAGATTTTTATTCTGCCTTCAGGATATGTAGGGAATTAAGACAGAGCAGAGATCTGGGGAATGTGCAACCTATGCCCGGCCCAACCAGAGACCCATTCCATGGGACAGAGCCAACCCCTGACACTATTGATGATGCTCAACTGTTTTTACAGTTTTTACAGATGGGAACCTTGCATGTCTGTCCTCTGAGACGCTTTGCACAACAATGGATCGAATCATAAACCAAGACTCACAGCCAAACATTGGGGGAGCATAGGGAGCCGTGTAGAAGATTGGGGAGAAGGATAGAATAACCTAGAGGGGATAGGAGCTCTACAAGAAGACAAACAGGCACAACTAACCTGGACCTGGAGAAGCTTGCAGAGACTGAAGCACCAACCAAGGACTAGGCATAGATTAAACCTAAACCCTTTACACACATATACACAATGGGCAGCTTAGCCTCCATGTGGGTTCTCCAGAAAGGACCTGTTCTGTCTCTGACATGATTTCTGTTGCATGCTTTTCCATTAGTTCACCGTGGGGTGCCTGCCTTGCCAGGACACTGTGAAAGACCTACCACCATATTAGTATTCTCAGAACTCACAAAATACAAAGAGGAATTACTACTGGTGGTTGTCCTCTGACTCCATGCATGGGCCCACACATACACATACATAAATGTACACCAATAAAATAAACTTAAATTGGGTTTTTGAATCGTGTTTGCATTTTATGTAGACGAGGCCCAAAAAGTAATGACCAAGTTGGATTTATCCCTTAAAATAAAAAATGGTTCGTCATCTGCACGTCAATAAATGACATAGTCTTATAGACAAAAACCACACGATCATTTCAACAGATTCAGAAGTCTTGGACAAAATCCAACATGCTTTCATGATAAAAGTGCTAATGAATATAGGACTAAAGGGTTGTTCCAGAAATACAAAACCTGTTTCCATTCAAAGGCTAGAGATGATTTCTATGTGGTGACCTTTATTCTATCTCTGTGGCTAGATACTCTATGGCCACTGACCATCCACAAAGATCATTATCATTCATTCTCAAATCTGTTTTTCCACTCAATCTATAGAACCTATCTTCATACACTTGACAAAGAATATGCTCTTAGTGATGTATGATCTGTATGTAGCTAGCATTGTTCATCAAGGAGATTAATGTATGTTTTGATGTGCATACAGGATAGAGTTGATCATCGTCAGAAGAGTTTTCTCCTATTTGTGCTTGTGCAAGGATGTGCCTAAAACAAACACATGGGGACAGACTCCCGACATTTGAACCAACACCTGCTACTGTGTTGTGCTGGGCAAACTGCCTTCCTGCCTCCTCTGCCTTGTTATTCTTCTGACCATGAAGGATATTAAGACCCCTGCTGGGATGCTGTAGGCGAGCAAGAAATAGAGAATGGGGGGAGTTTCATATGACCTCATGGGGAAACTGGGAAAAACTGTGGGGCAATAATAAGGGAAGTGGAAGAACATAAATATGCATTTAAAGATTATCCTTCGACTCACTGAAATATTTTAACTCAAAAGCAAAAACTGATGACAACCTGTGCATCTAAGGTTTATCACTTCCTCCTTTTGAGGCCCATCAAAGTCAGTCCAAATAACGCTGTGTCTTCTCTGCATGGCCTCTGACAGGTACACAGCCATCACCAGGTACTGAATGACATCACCCAACACAAGTTCCCTTCAGAGTTTTCTAGGAAGGATTTGTCAAACACAGCAAGGTTACTGCTATCTGAGTCTGTTAAAATCAGCAAGTCCTTCATTCATATCATCATTCACAGTAACATTAGGATGAAATGAAACAAGCCTGCAAGGAAAAGGGGACTGGATGCCTTCCTAAGAAAGAGGAAGGAATTTCACTTTAACAATTTACTGGTGGGATGATAGTGATATCACATGTGAAGAACAGTGGTAGATACGGTTGTCATTTTCTATTTGTAGAGTCTGAATTCTGTTCTAGAAAAAAATCCGAAGAAAGCACCATAAGGTCATGGCAAAAAAATAACACAGAAAAGTATGTAAAGACAACTAACATACCCTACAAATAGTGAGAAATAGTCAAGCAAGGCAAAGAGGAAAATCTTTCTCCCTCACAATAAATTTGAACAACTTTTTAATCATTAACCCATGGTATCATTAACAAAAGGATGCTAGTGAAAAACTGGAGATTAGATTTCAAACACAGTCAGTAGGAATTCTCTAGGCAAATGTGTAAGTTTTGATAATTAGTAGAATGTCAATTGGATGGATTTCTGTCAGGTCCCCGGTGCTCAGAAGTGAGAGGAACAAGAAGTAATCACTACACCCAATAAACTATGTTTTTAGAATTTTTTAAAAACACAGAATCTCATCTGGCCTAGGCTCACCTTCAATGCCTATGAATCAGAGGATGACTTTGAACTCTAGGATTCCTGATAACTCCTCAAAATGTAGAGATAAAAGAGATGAATCATAGAATAGGCTTAACTTCTCTTTTCACTCATAGGGCTGTTTAATTCAAAATATATGTAAATATTTGCTCCTTATAAGCTATATATGAACATGCTGCTGTATCATCCCTACACTGTAGGAAAGCTGTTCTGCTGTGCAAGGCAGTGTGCTTTTTCCACTTCATATACAGTTATTATTTTTCCTACACATTAGCAACATGATCTAGGGACTGTCTATTGTTTTAGATATGGTTGGAAGCTCATTGAAAATTCAGGTAGATAGGGCAAGATGGTCTGAGTCCCATGCTTGCAAGATTAGACTTCAATGTCATAAGCCAGTCTTCAGCTCAATACACTTGGTTTAACTGAAGCGTGCAAAGACACCTGAAATAGAGAAAATGGTTGTGGAGGAAAATCCTGAAAACCCTGTGCCTGGCTGTGACTGAGGAACTCTCGGGAGGAGGCTGTCTGCAGAGACTGATGGCCCACGTGGATGTTCAGGGCTGTGCATGTTTGGGTGGTAGTTGCCTTACCTTGGGCTGATTTTACCCTTCAGGAATAGTCAATCCTTGCCTCACTCTGGAGTGGACAAGACAGCTTGTGACAACAGATAAAACCTCTTAGAATCTACCAACTTGGTATGACTTATGCTTCTCTCACTCCAAATGCAAAGATTGTCATCAAATGGTACCCTAGGAGAATAAACCAGCTCCCCAATGTTATAGTTCCTCCTTCTCTGGTATACCTACCAATACATTTCAGACTTTACTTGATTAATGACAGTCTTTGTTCTGTAATACCATGAAAAATGCTACCATATTGGAGCATAGAATTTGGGGCACCAATATCTGTGTTCCCAGATTTTGATCACTCAGATAGCTCCAGACTACCGTCTCTTAACCATTCAAGAGAGCTGTGGGTTTTGCATCTTCAGGAACCATGTGCAAATCACAAGACCCTGAGTGTGCCACACTTTCCAAATTCATCTTATATTATCTGTAACACAGCACAAAAATGTGGGCAAATCTAGAACTATTCAGGGGGCGTCAGTGAACCTGGATACCACATTCAGTGACAGAGCACATGTAAGGGAGTTTAGACTCTGCTGATAACGTTAACAGACAGAAAAAAAGCAAGTACAAAAGAAGAATGTACAGAGCTGGCCAGATTAGCAGGGTCACGCCTCCCCTCCCTTTTAGAGACATTCCAAAGCCCTACCAGAGATGCATTTCTGTCATCACACCCAGTCATCTTCCACATCTGAAAAGGAGTCCGAACTTCAGACACTACACAGCCTCAGAATTGATGAGGTATTACTGTCTAGTAATTTTTACTCAAGTGTAAAGTTTGTGATTATGTGGATTTAGAAAGGATAGGTTCATTCCAATTCAAAGTTTATTCTGCGGCCATAAACAGTGTATTATGCTGACTCGGGTCACAGGGGTGTACATTAGGGATTCATGTCCCACGCCAGTTATCCATTAATCTAATAATTCATCCCAAAGGAAAAGGCACAAACAAAATCAATCAACAATCGCCTTCCTGTCCTTGGAAACTAGAAACTTGAGGAACCTCCGTGAGCTCAAACCAGGAGTAGTAAGCCTGACATAAGGTATAGGAGGGGCTAAGTGTCCACATGTTCTAGGAGTCCTGAGAAATCTGACTACAGCCATGTGAGCCTGGGTCAGCTAGGTAGAGCTTCCTTCACCTCCTCAGGCACAGTCAGTCAGCAGACCCAGCCTGCCCTTGAAATCTCGTTGTTTCCAACCTTCTCCCCGGTCAAACCTTCACCCAGGGGCAGTGGCCCAGCCTAGGTCAGCACAGCACCTGCATGTCACCTTCCAGGTCGTCCCAACCAGCCCACGTCAGCTCCCTCCGCGCCGGACCCGCCACCGTGCACAGTCGCTCAGATCTGCAGGACGCCGCTGCTCCTTCCACCAACCTCCAGGTCAGAGCGCCAAGCCCCGCGCTGAGCAGGACACCGAGCCTAACTTTAGGCAGAAGCGAAGTTTGAATAAGTGATGCGGAAGTTTGCTCCCAACCGCAATATCCGGTGACGCCATACTGGTCTGAACTACATTTCCCACAAGTCAGCGCGAAGAATTTCCAGGCAACAAGGAAAGGGTGTTTTGTGCAGTCCTTTACTTCCTGCCAAACTGTGTCCCAGTTGGAGGGAAACAGACTGAAATGTAGGGTCAACCACGGGAGATTCAGGCTGTTTTAAAGCCCTGTGGTCACAGTACCCGATCCCATTCTGGGAGTCGAGTATTTCACAGTAATATTTATCACGTTTCATAGTTATTTCTTTAAAACACTGTGATTTTAAAGCTCCGACCTACTTATAGAATCTTACTACAGCATGGGAAATTCAGATTAATCACTTTTCTTATAAAGTATGAGAAAAATAAGAACCGTAAATAAAATAGGCATTGGAGGTAGTCAGCAGGAAGGAACTGGGTAGGAGAGCAGATGGGGAGGCGGAGCAACCCTAGAGTTTAGAAATGGAGCTGAGGAGGGCCAGCGGAGAGAATAGAAATAGGAGGAGGGGGCCATCTCTGTGGCTTGCCAGAGACCTTGGATAGTAGAGGCCCTAGGAAGTTTATGCCGATTCCTCTAGGTGAGACTGCTAGCACCAGGGGATATGTGGCCTCAACTGGCTGCCTCATATAGCCAAGTAGGACTTCCAGTGGAGGAATAACGACACTGACCTACCCACAAAATCTTCAACCCCAGAGTTGTCCTGCCTACGACATGTACAGGGACAAAGATGGAGCAAAGATTGAGGGTATGGCCAACCAAAAACTGGTACTAGTTGAGACCAATCCTATGGGAGAGAACCAATCCCTGACACCATTAATGTTCCTCGGCTATTCTTGCAGACAGGAGCCCAGCACAATTCCTCTAAGAGGCTTCACCCAGCAGCTGATGGAAACAGATGCAGAGACCCACAGCCAAACATTAGACAGAGCTTGGGAATCCTATGAGAGAGCTGAGGGAATGATTGAGGGAGCTGGAGAGGTCAAGGACTCCACAAGAAAGACCTACAGAGTCAGGGAACCTGGGTCCATGAGGCTCACAGAGTCTGAACTACCAACAGAAGAGGATACATTGACTGGTCCCAGGCCCCCTGGACACACACAGTTGATGGGCAGGTTGGTTTTCATGTGGATCCCCCAACAACCGGAGCAAGGGACCTCTCTCACTCTGATGCCTCCCTTTGACTCCTGTTCCTCATACCTTGACTGCCTTCCTTGGCCTCAGTGGGAAAGGATGTGTCTAGTCCTACAGTGACCTAATATGCCAGGGAGGGTTGGTATCCATGAGGGATCTCCCCCTTCTCTGAGAAGAAGGAGGGAGGATGGGGTGTGTGTGTGTGTGTGTGTGTGTGTGTGTGTGTGTGTGTGAGACTGGGAGTACAGGGAGGCTGCAATCAGGATGTAAGGTGAATAAATTATTTTAAAAGAAAAATTAGGAAGCAGGAAGCTAATGTAGGCCTGAGGATTATCTCTTTAAGATGCTTATTGAAGCCAACCTTGGTGACTCTGCCTATATCCAGTGTCTCAGCAGCTTAAGACAAAAGAATCAGAAATCAAGGCTCCTCACTACCAGGTGTTGTCTGATGACATGCTTTCCTCCTCTGCAACTCTCCCAAGAAGGGCACAGATCCTGGGATCACATTGGTGTGTGTATTAACTCTTGGTGCATTGTGCATTACAGGATATTTCCAACTGCTTTAGGTTTCATGTTCCTTATTGAATTTTTTGTTTGTCCTCTTACCTTATCAGTGTTCATATTTGACCCTATTTGAACATCAGCGGTATCTGCCTTGAACTTCCCTCACTTCTTCTAAGCAGAACACTGAAATTCCTCCTTGAATAGGAAGGTATCAGAAATATGTTCACAGGATGGTCAAATGAACTCACTGTAGTAACGAAGCTGCATTGGAGCCGTGGAGTACTGAGAATGCCCACATCTTCGTAGGAATGTTCATTCCTGTGCAGCTCCTGCTTGAGACAAAGACACAAACCCCACCACAAGGAAGGTTTCATGCTGCCACGATGCACACTGCTTCACAAGGAAGCTGTTTCTGAGGGGAGATGGTGAGAAGTTCCCATCCAATTCTTCTATTGCAGGCAGTGTGTTAACCCAGTGACACAGAAGCTTTTTTTCTAAGCTTCCTCCACTTAGAAAAAAGAGTTACCAAGCAAAATAGCAACCTGGACCCTTGATTAGCAAGCCTGTTTAGTATGAGGTCACATGACTAGTCTGTTCTCCTCTTGAATGCTGCAGTGAGGGGCATTGTCAGCAATCTTAAGGACTTAGCATTTCTGAGCATAGCTAGGTTTTCAATGTGTGTGTATATGTTTACATGTATGTTTGTGTCTGTTAGATGGAAAGCTAACTAAGAAGGTGCTCATTCATATGAGAAATGCTGATCCTTGAGGATGCAGCATTCTTTTCCAACTTCTTCAGTCGCCAGTTCTTCCTAGAGGAATTGTTTAATTCAGAGACCTGAGAAGAATAAATATATCTGAATAAACAGGGAGTACAAAGCAAGCAGCTTCCAAAACTATAGAAATGACAGAGCCTGTTGGCCACCTGGACAGTCACCCTAAGTATGGTATGTTCTTACTCTAGTACACCAACAGTACCAGTTAGGAGCTACATCTGTGTTTTTCCCTGGACAGTCACCCTAAGTATGGTGTGTTCTTACTCTCGTACACCAACAGTACCAGTTAGGAGCTACATTTTCCCTGGATGTTGGGTTAAAGTCATGTGCTGCCCTCACCTTGTCCATGGCAGGTCTAGAATTTAGAAAACAGCTAACTTACACAGAGAGTGAAGACACGACCACAACTGCACTGCTCAAAAATTTCATCTTAGCTCCAAATCACTTCAACTCTTAGAGATATACAAAACAAGTTTCAAATGTAGTAACCCTTTGAATTTACCTAAAGCATTTTAAATATATTAACTGGGTTTTAAAATAAAAAACAAACAAACCCATATCCTTTTCATTTAAGAAGAAAACTCAAAAGCAGAAATCCAAGATGGTGTGGGCCATGTAGAAATCTACAGTCTAACATTCTAACATGGAATTAAGACATGTGGTTTAAGAAAAGCTATTTTTCTTGTGCACTACTTATCTAAAATCTGAATGGTCTGTGACTGTTCTTGAAATACTTTTTAATTTTTTTCTCAGAAGCATTCCTTATTTTATTTCTTTTTTTCCCTTCTGAGATTGGAGGAACATTAATCTGTGTTTCCCATTGCTGCAACAAATCATGTCCCCATAGATTCATGGCTATATTAGCTACGTATGTTTTTATTTGTCCTTCTGGCCGTATACATTTGACCCATCTTGCACTTTGTTTTATCCGAGATAAAGCTCCAATTTCTAGAAGCTGAATATTTACCCTCTGAACAGGCCAATCTGGATGCCAAGATTTTGGTGAAATTATTATTACATCTGCTCTTTGTTTACTAAACCTTCAATTTCAATGTTATTTATCTGTATTTTGAGCTTTTGGCTCCAATCTTTTATAGGAAGTTGCCTAAATATACTTGTTTTCTTGTCTCTCCTGAATTTTTTGTTTTATATACTGAAGCTGTTGATTACATCAAGAGCAGTGTTGTTTTAAACAACAGACATTAAGTCTTTTAATTCCTCTGTGGATGAATTTCTCCAGGCTTACAGGAAGTGAATAAATCAGATTTGATACTGGGACCTGTGAAAGGCTCCCTGTGCATTTTCAGTTGAAAAGGATAACCTCCCTTACTGATCTGTATTCATTAGTCCAATGCCAGACTTTGTTACACTTTCTGCGTACTCCACAAGGCTGGGGCCTTCTTTTTGGATTAGCTCTAGAAAAACCATTGTTTCTAGAAACACCTTGCCTAAAATATGTTTTTAAATGACTTGGCTTACCACAATTAAATCATCTGACATTTTGATTTTTCTTAGAACTTTTAGAAATGACTTTATCCTATCAGAGTAGCATCATAAATGTGAGCTCCAATATCACGTTAGAATGAATTACTAATTCACTCATTTACTGGTGTAGATCTTGGCTTTAAGGTCTAATTACCCTTTTCCATTGTGAGTTAGCATTTTCAAAAAGCCAGAGATTCTATTAGTATTTTCTTAACTTCAGAACCTGGTACTATTCTATTTACAGCTGAAGTCAATAATTTCAGAGTCAGTGAAGGCTTCTTTTGTGCCTTGTATAATTTTAGTAAATGACTCAGACCTCTTTCTCAATTCTTCAACCTTGTCTCAAGCATTTAAAGCTGCTAAATGAAATAGCACCCCAGTGTTATTGTCAAATTTAAGCTACCTTTGAAACTGAGCATATTGCTGTTCACCTAGCAACCGATCTTGGGAAATATCAATACATTTCGTCTTTTGTTATCCTTGTATGGCTCATGCTTCTTCTTTCCACCATGTTTACCATCATAACTGAGGACCAGCTTCCAATATTGCTGTTGCCAAATCTTTCCAGTCTCAGGGTATAATCCTGTTATGAGTTGCCCATGTATAAATATCTGCTTCATTCTGTCTGAGGATTTTCCTATCTTCATTTATAAGTATTTCTAAGGCTTGTAGCTTATCAATCCACTTTTCATATTTGGCACAAAAATCCCCCACTATTGTTATTACAGATAATATGAACTAACAGACTGATGGTAATTAAAATGGGCATAATGCCAATCTGATTTAAAGGCATGTTCTTTTTCACTTCATGACTTTCTGTTTCTTCGATTCTCTATTGTTTCAATAAAGTATTCATACCAAAAGCAACATGGGAAGAGGAAATGGTTTAAGTGTTGTACAGGTTATAGACCATCATTAAAGGAGGACAGATCGGGAGATCAAGTATTAAACTGGAGGCAAGAACAGAAGCAAAAACCATGGAAGAATGTTTTCAGGCTCTGTCCCCTCCCCCAGACCTCCAATGACTATCATAGTTGTATAATAAAGATCATTTTCCCAGTGATGGAAATGCCACCAGTTGTCTGAGGCCCCCAAAAGCAATCATTAATCAAGGAATTACATCATAGACTTACGTGCAGGCTAATCTGATAGAGGCAATTCCTTAGGCAAGGTTTCCTCCACCAAGATTACCATAGCTTCTTTCAAAGCAATTAATACTTAGCAACACACTCTCAATTTGGCAGTCCACTTGGTTAATTGTAAGTTGCAGTCAGTGAGTTTTCAGATGCTGGAGAAAGGAAAATATAATTGTCGGGGGACAGGAAGAGGTGTAGGCATAATATTATTGTGTGTAAAGATTCAAATATTGATTTCAGTCTATACCTGGTTGCAATCCTTAGTCAGAGAATCTCCTGTTTCAATGCTGTATAAAAGCTGTTTTCCAGTTGTTCCCTGATAAGTCAATTAAAGTAGCTAAACAGCCAATGACTAAAGAGGGGAGAGAATAGGGCTGGACTTCCTCCCAGCCAGGGGAAGGCTAGAAAGAGAGGAAGTGGGGATTCAACCACAAGTAGAGATCTAGGAGACATCATGAGAGAGTAGTTGGAGCAGAGAAAGCCATAAAACAAAAATATCTTGAGGATTTATGCTGGGAGGAAGATAGATTAGCTTAGAGGCTTAAAATAGATTAACACTGTTCAGTTGTGCCTTAAAGCTGTAGATCTATGTATGTATGTATGTATGTATGTATGTATGTATGTATGTATCTATCTATCTATCTATCTATCCGTTCCATTATCAGTTTTTTGGAAGCTAGCTGGGATAAGAGAAAAACTGCAACACTTTTGAAATTTGCACTAACATTTCACATACCAAGTGGAGGAAGAACTTAAATAGAATCCAAACTTAGACAGAAACAAGTACTCCCAGTTCTGTTTATTAAGAGAAGAAAAAAAAATAACAGTTACTGAGCAACCACAGTTTCTCAGGCAGGGAGCCCATGGCTCTATAGTAGTGCACTATACCAATATGAATCCTCTGATGTGGATACAGGCATCAAAAACAGCTAAACTCCTGGCCATACTTTACATTTGCAGGGAGTGTTATGTGTAAGATTTTTGATTTACGATAAATAAAACCTTTCAATACTCTTTACCTTTGGAGGACTATTGCTCAGTAAGAATGCTTTCCTTTCATTTAAGGGATGAGAAGCTTTCAAAGGCATTGGCACACCCTCAAAGCTGTGGTGTTTCTCTGCAGGATAAATTCTATTGAGGTCAGAAATGTTGATTAAATGGTAAATAACTCACTACATTCTTCATCTGTGTATAGCTGCCATCCACTATCGATTCTTTTGTGCTTTAGAATTAATAATTCTAAAGGGTTTACCACATTTCCCATGTTTATAGGGCTTCTATTAAGAATGGATTTTTCTATCTTTTAGGGCCTGAAGAAAAGTGTAAACATTTTAAAATTGTATTATTTCATTCCAGTTTGAACTATGTTGTGTTGAGAAATATAAGAAAACTTATTAAAGGGTTTGCAACATTTTTCACACTTGTGTCAGTTCAATCTAGTGTCAATTATGAAAAGTTTCAAAAGCTCTTTTTAAGATCATGGCACATTCTTCACACTTGTGTGATTTCTCTCACAAATGAATTTTTTAATGTTGCTTAAGACCAGAAGAGTGGAAATAGCTTTTTCCCACATTCTTCATATTTGTACCGTTTTTCTCCAGTATGAATTATGCGGTGTTTAGAACGTGCTGTGGAACTTCTAAAGTCTTTGCCACATTCTTTACATTTGTAGGGTTTCTCACCAGAATGAATTCTTTGATGATCCCTAAGGTTTTTAGTATTGTTGAGCACTTTGCCGCATTCTTTACATTTGCAAGGGTTCTCCACTTCGTGAATTAATTTGTGCTGACATAGGTATGATTTTGTAGAGAAGGCTTTTCCACATTCCTCACATTTATATGGTTTTTATCCAGAATGGGCTATCAAATGAGAAGAAAGAATCCGGGAATTTCTAAAGGACTTGTTACACACTTCACAACTGTAGGGTTTCTCACCAGGATGAATTCTCCTGTGTTCAGAAAGTAATAATGGACAATGGAATGCCAGGCCACAAACGTCACACCCGTAGCATTTCTCTCCTGTATCAATTCTCTTGTGCTTAGAAAGTAATGATGGACAGTGAAAGGCCTTGCCACATACTTCACATTTGTAGAGTTTTTCATCTGTATGTCTTCTTTTGTGTTTAGAAAGTAATGATGGACAATGGAAGTCCTTGCTACATACTTCACATTTGTAGGGTTTCTCTCCTGTATGGATTCTCTTGTGTACAGAAAGTACTGATGGAACATGAAAGGCCTTGCCACATACTTCACATTTGTAGGGTTTCTCTCCTGTATGAATTCTTTTGTGTTTAGAAAGTAAGGATGGACAATGGAAGTCCTTGCCACATATTTCACACTTGTAGGGTTTTACTGAGGTATGAATTTTCTTGTGTGCAGAAAGTAGTGATGGAGCACGAAAGGCCTTGCCACATACTTCACATTTGTAGGGTTTTTCTCCTGTATGAATTATCACGTGTTTAGAAAGTAATGATGGAACATGGAAGGACTTGCCACACATTTCACATTTGTATGGTTTCTCTGCAGAATGAATTCTTTTGTGTACAGAAAGTAATGATGGAGCATGGAAGGCCTTGCTACATATTTCCCATTTGTAGGGTTTTTCTCCTGTATGAATTCTCTTGTGTTTAGAAAGTAATGATGGAAAACGAAAGGACTTGCCACATACTTCACACTTGTATGGTTTCTCTCCTGTATAAATTTTATTGTGTTCAGAAACTCCTGATGGAAAAAGAGAAGCCTTGCCACTTACTTGACACTTGTAGGATTTTTCTCTTGTATGAATTCTTTTGTGTTTAGTAAATAATGATGGACCATGAAAAGCCTTGCCACAAAATTCACACTTGTAGGGTTTCTCTCCTGTATGAGTTCTCTTGTGTTCAGAAAGTAATGATGGAACACGGAAGGCCTTACCACATTCTTGACACTTGTAGGGCTTCACTCTTAAATGAATTCTCTCATGCTTACTAAATTTTGATTTCCAATCAAAAGTTTTACCACATTCTTTGCATGTAAAGCATTTTTCCCCTGGTGATTTAAAGTTGAGAAATGAATGAAAGCAGAGCAAAATTCTTTATATTTCTAATGCTTATTTTTAAAATAAACATTTACTCATATTTGGATTTATCTATATAAATGATAAGCTACATTTAAATTTCTAAACCTGTATTCTATGAAGTCTAATTTAAAACACAATTGGTGAAAGTCATGTAACCTTCCACTGGAGTAGGAAAACCATGAACACACAGAACACGGAAACCAATGAGCATTAATCAAATTCAAACATATATGGAAGGCCTAACATCAACAACTAAGAAAACCCATAATAGCATTATGAAAATGCGAATCAGTCCTTTAAAGAAATACACAAATTTTATGACTAGGTAAAAACAATATATAAAAGTAGTCTTACATGAAAAATACCTGTACGCTACACATGGGGTTTTTTTCATGTAAGATATATATATTCTACGTATGGGGTTATAGTTTTAGAAGTTATGAAAGTGAGGTTATATAAAAAGACTGTCCATAATAGCAATAAATAATAAACTCCAAGTATTCAAGACAAAAAGTCTTGGGAAAAAAAAATCCAAGTTAAAGATCACTTAGAAATGACAGAGCTGGGGTTGGGGATTTAGCTCAGTGGTAAAGCACTTGCCTAGCAAGTGCAAGGCCCTGGGTTCAGTCCTCAGCTCTGGGGAAAAGAAGACAAAATAACAAAAAGACCAAAAACAAACAAACAAAAAACAAAACCAAGATAACTAGAAATGACAGAGCTTTGATTGTCACAATAAACACATATTTGCCTCATGATAGGGGATAGCAAAAAACTCATAAGACTCCAAGCATCCTAAACATCATATAGATGTCCTCTTTTGACAGAAAAAAAAGGAAATGAGATCTTTGAGAGATGATTTCTACCAGAACATTTTATGTCAATGGTGTTCTGTTGTGTCTGGATTTACCCCTCTGTCTTTTGACCCCCTCATTCTGACACACCTGGCTGAATGACAGTGGCTGCTGGTCTCTTCACATCTGAAGCCTCTTGTCTTTGCTCCAGAAATGTGACCAGGTAGGGCTTAGAAGAAGCAAGACCTGTTTGTGGGAAAAGGGAACAACATTTTTAGTTGGTTCTTCTGGGAAATAATAGGTTCTTGCCAGGACTGTGGGCATAAGGAATGAGAAATTACAATAAAGAGGTATAGAGCAGTATAGAGGTTTAGTCCTTTATGTGTTTTCTGATGGGTGCAACAAAATGCTTAGGAGGAATTTGGGAATTGCAGGTCCTGAGCTTCATATCCCTTAGTTACAAGGAAAACTTTAACTGAAGGGTGTGACAATCTCTTTATGGCATACCACTCCTGCACATGACACTTACTTTTTAATATAAATCATACATTTAAATGGAGTGGAAGGTTATGAAAACAAGAAATAGTTCTAAGGTACATGAATTATACTTATTTTCCTAAGACTATTCCTATGAATCTCACTGGTGGAAGCACAAGCTCTCATGAGATATTGTACAAAGGGAGCAAGTTTCATGCTGACAGTTAATTAAGAATTCATGACAGGGGCCTGGAGAGATGGCTCAGAGGTTAAGAGCACTGGCTGTTCTTCCAGAGGTCTTGAGTTCAATTCCCAGCAATCACATGGTGGCTTACAACCATCTATAATGAGATCTGGTGCCCTTTTCTGGTGTGCAGGTGTATGTGCAGACACAACATTGCAAACATAATAAATATTTAAAAAAAGACTTCATAATGGAAGTGATCCTCACCCAGGAACACAAGGTTGTTATAATTCTCCAATATCACATCCCTGTACAATTTCCACTGTGCAGGGCCCAGGCATTCCCACTCCTTTGCAGAGAAACAAATGACAACATCCCAGAATGACAGCATATCCTGAAAATAAAAAAAAAATACTCTTCGAGTAAATTGATTAAAACCATCAGTAATAACACAACTACCATGAAGATTCATGTGCTCCTGCATACAAATCTAAACGTTACCCAGAGTGAGAGGAGAGCTGGAAGTGCTTCTGACATAGAGAAGTATATCCCTAAAATACTTCTGATGTGGTATTGGGATGGTACAGAGCACTCATCAATAAGAAAAGTAGAAGGCAGAGGATCCTAGAAATTCCAATGAATACTGTATTTTAATAACTATAAAATGATCAACAGAGCCACCTAACCAGGGCCAAAAGGAGCTTGCTGAGACTGAAGCATCAACCAAAAACCATGCACAAACTGGACCTAGGCCCCCTACAAAGATGTAGCAGATGGGGAGCTTAGGCCTCATGTGGGTCCTCTAGTTAGGGAAGTGGTGACAGCATCGGACACCGAGTCACTTGCCAACTTTTTGATCACTTTCCCCTGGTGGGGGCTACAACAAGGATGTAAAGTGACTTTTAAAACAGAACTATAAAATGCAAAATAAGTGCATCCACAAAACAGTATTTGGGGCTGGAGAGATGCCTCAGCACTTAAGAGCCCTGACTGCTCTTCGGAAGGACCTAGAGCCAATTCCTAGACGCCACATGGCTGCTAACAACTAAGTGTCTAGCTGCAGTTAGAGAGGATCAACCATCTTAGTCAAGTATACTTCCAAAACACAAACACATCATCACCTCTGTTAGACCTCCTTCCATGAAACTTCATTCCCCAAAATAAACTAGGGCAGGAAAGACTTTATTGGGGTTATACTTCCATAGCACTGTTTATCACTGAAGAAAGTCAAGACAGGGACTCAAAATGGATAGGAACCTGGAGGCAGAAGTATGGGTCTCCCCTTCCTCAGGAGTCATTGGCCAATGGCCCACAAGGGCAGCGGAAGGAGAGATGGTGTACAGTGTTTGGACAGTACTGTGTACAGTGTCTGTCAGTATGATAGAATACTTCTAGGAAACATTTCAGTGTGAGAGCTCAACTTTATTTGGGGTAAACAAAGGATATTTAGATCTTGGAGAGCAGGTAGGGTTTTCCAGGGTGGGCAAACTTTATTGGCTGGGCCTAAGGTGCTAGGAATGCTTCATTTACATGAAGAGACATTCCAGGGACTTGTCAGCCAAGTTCATACTGGGAGAGAGGAAGCTGAACCTGTAATTTGGCCATAGACTACTGAGAGACCAAAAGATAAAGTAGCAGCTATTATTAAGACCTAAAGTAGGTGCGGTAAAGAAGTTAGTTTAGTAATGCCCTGAGGGGAGAGCTACCTCACTGCATTCTTTCCCCACCCACTAGAGATACAGTTGCTAGGAAACTGGACCATCCCCCTAGGGAGGGACACCTTGTCATGGTCAATGGTCAAGGAACCTTCCCATAGCCAATCAATTCAAAATGTAGCATCTTGACCAATAGATGCTTGCCAGGCAGGAATTGCCCCTGCCTTGGGTATGCTGGGAGGGACAGAATCTATAAATCACCCAACTAACCTGGGGATGGGGCGCTCAGCTCCCACCACTTTGGCAGTGGGTGTTGTGGGCCCAAGCTGCAGCTTGTAATTTACAATAAAAAGACCCTCATGTGTTTTGCAATGGAGTCGATTCCTGTAGATCTTTTGGGGGCTTGAGAACTGGGTATAACATTTGGAGGTCCCACCAAGATTTCAGAGCCCCCCAAGACCTCAGGACTGATTCGGAGGGTCTCATACCAGCTGGTAGGTGTCGTTTCTGTGTCTCAGTCTCCGTCTTTGTCTCTGTGCTTTGTGCGGTGTGCAATGTTCCCGTTGGCGCCTATTTTCTGAATTCTGTTCTGCCTCGAGGCATCTGTATGAGTGACTAAATGTGATTTAGGCAGACATGTCAAACAATCACAGTCACTGAAGTTGGGAGAGACGTATCTGGAGGTGGTCTAGAACCACCCACCACTCTGAGGCTTCTGTGGCAGAGGAGCTAGAGCAGGAATCTGAAGGTCTTTTTTTACAGTACCTTACCCAGGAAGGGACTTGGGCCCACCCTGGAGGAATTTCTGAAAGGCTTATGTTCTGCCTGCCCCAAAAGAGTCAGTTTTGGTCCTGGGAAATTTGGCCAGCTGGTTAGTGTTTTCTGTCTCAATGTCTCTGTGCAGTATTTGTTTGTGTATACCTTCTGTTTTCTGTTCTGAAAGGCCTCATAAAACTTGTTTAAAATGTGTGTCTATGTGTTTATTAGATGAACGCATATGTATAAGTTACCACATGGTATATGAAGTGCCTCAGTGCCTCACCGCCATCTTGACTTTACCATGTGGGTTATAATGTGACTGCCATCTTGGTATGAATAAAAAAAAAAAAGAGAGAGAGAGAGAGAGAGAGAACCTTGGTCAAATAATTCTCATTTCCTTCTAGGTTAAAAGGATGAGTTATTTTAAATTGGTATTGGTTTTAGAAATTAAATTGCTTGCACTGGTAAATTCTGGTTTTAAAATCTGGTTTTGACTTTTAAGATTATGGTTATGCCTTGTGACTTCTCTCCTACAAAAGGGGTACTTTGTTTTGATATTGCAAAAACGGGTTTAAAAAATTGTTTAAATGTTTAAGGCTATAAAATGTTTAAAGTTTATCAGGCATTTGGGTATGACAATGATCTTGGGTAGTCTAACAGAAAATTGGAAAGTTTCTCGATACTTTGGGGGAGAAAAATACTTTGGTATATTTACTAAATAAAACTGAGCAATGTGGTTTGCACTAATTGAGAAAATTGCAGTTTTTATAATGTATCTTGTGGAGAGCTGTTTGTTAAGCTGCTTTGTTTATGGAAAAACATGTTTCCACCCTGTTCTTTACCTTGAGACAAAGAAAAGAGGAAGTTTCACCAAGTTCCTTAAAACTTGTTCTAAGTTCCTTAGAGTTTATGTGACGTTGGACCATCTTGTCTGCTACAGGGAAGTTATTTTTAAAAAAGAATTTGGCAGTTTCAGAACTCCTCTTTGTAGTAATGTAATTTGTTTTTGCTTTGCCTATAAAAAGCAAATCATAGACGCTGGGCTCCAACAGGATCATGTCAGAATGGAAAGTTCTATTTTGATGAGAGTTTTTATGTTGTCTGAAAAGCAAGAGAGAGAAAGCAAAAAAGTAAAAATGTCTGGTTAAGCCAGAAAAAGAAAGCTAGGAACCTAAAGGTATATAGGATGTTGCAGAAGGTTAGTGGATGTATTATAAAAAACCAGAGAGTTAATATGATTTAAAAAATATTTAAATATGTTGTACTTCATTTAAAAGGCTGATGATTCCTCATTGCAAAATATTTTTTATGCTCTTTTAAGGGGAAAGAATTCTGGCTGATAGGTTTGGTATGGCTAGAATAATTTGTACAGTTTAAAATTGCTCTGTACTGTTCTGTTATGCAGTTGGTTCTAAAACTTATTTGATCACTATGTTAGAACTTTTGGTTGTGGGGAGTTGTGGATGCTCCACAGTGTTTGCTGTATCATCATCAGCACCTAATGACTATGTTTGGTATTGTCAGTTGCAGCCTGTGCTAACACGTGGCTAGCCGCCATGATGGTTCAGCAATAGAGAGAGCATGGAGATGTAGTTTTGCTGCCATATTTGTTTAGGGCTTCCAGCTGAGTTCAGTTACACGTGGCCAGACACCATGCTGGTCCAGAGATAAAGAGGGTGGAGCCAAGAGTTTGCGATCATTTTTGTTTAGGTCTGAGTTATGTTCAGTCATCTGATTAGTGCTAAATGCAAAGCTTTTTACTGTTCAATTTTAGTGCAAATGGTAGGAGCAGCAAGATTTGCTAGCCTCTCTATGAACTGTATCTGATTAAAAGATTTGCTTTGATTTTAGTTCAGAAAGAGCAGATTTAAAGTCATGCTAAATACTGCAGTTGAGCCTTACCTAGTCTTTTTTGTTCAGGTTTTTTTTTAAGGTTAAGCCTAGGATGGGTAACTACAAAGTTACCCTATTTGTCTTAAAATATATAGTTCTAGAACATGCATCTCAGAAATATGCTAGAATTAGAGATCATAGCATTCTGTTTTATAGGACACAGTTTAGAACAGATGATAAAGATAGACAAGGAGTATCTCAGATATGCTGGTCCTCAAGTTTGTCAGAGATCTGATGAATATGGCATTTTAACATGTGTAAGTTTATTGTGACAAAAAGTCCCAAAATCCTGGCAGTAGCTCCTCAAGGTCTCCGAGAAGATTTGGGCACAACAACAGATGACTGCGACTCTGGATTGTGGTATGCTAACCACTTGGCAATACTGCTTCAACTGGCCCACTGCTAGGGCCCAGCCTAAACTGTGGACAAAGCCAGGGACACCTGAAGAGCCATTGTCTCATATTGTGAGAGGCAAGGTGAGGTCAGTCTCTTCTGTTCCTCTTTCCACAGAAGCAGTAGAAGCAGTCTCTCACCTTCTGTGCCTGGCTGGACAGCCTCTGTTCAGGATACCGTGAGACACAGGAACCAGGGACACTTCCTAGGTGATGGACTAACTAGCCATCTCGGTCATTTTGATTGGCGCATGAATTGGTATATTTATTTACCTTATAATTTATCCTTCTCAAGTCTCTGAACACCTTGATGGCTATGCTAAGCTTACGGTTGCAGCTAGAGAGAAGACAATTAGATCCACTGTTAGCTCATTGATAAGTTCATTAGCTAGAACTACTGGGTATTAGATCTCTTATTTAGAAGAAAAACAGATTTGCCTTGCTCACAGAATTCATGTTAGTTGTCTGTGTCTTAAGATATATATAGCTGGATAAAAAATATGGAGCCTATGTAGGGTCTGAGGATACAGGAGTTTAGGTTGTAAAAATCTAGAGACTGTTGTTATTTATAGAGTTCTGATAAGTTAATGGAGCAATAACTGCTTATTATTCAGTCACCAGGTTGAGATTTTAATTTCCTTTGGTTGGCTTCTGGAGATAGACTTAAAGGTGCTTCTCATCATGTTAAAAAC